GAAGGGTCTGGAAGGGCCGTGGTCAAGGGGTTCCGTGAGTTGCCATCAGACCAGTATGTCTGGTCTTTTGTATGATTCTGAACTTTGCTTGACATTTTTTATCTCCCTCTCTGTCTGGTGCCTTCTATTGTCTGCTCCCAAGCAGAGCAGTCAGTAATGGTAGCTGGGCACCATCTAATTCCTTTTGGCCTCAAGTTGTAGCTCCTGTGGGTCATTGGTCCTTTGGACTAATTGCTTCCTGCACCTTTGGTTTTCTGTACTCTTCTTTGCAGCACATGAGGAGAGACCAGGAGTTGCAATAAAACTCTAAACCCAGACTCACTGTTACTCAGTCCGTGATGACTCATAGCGACCCCCTGTGGGTTTCTGAGACCGCCACTGTTTATGGCAGTAGAAAGCCCATCCTTTCTCCCAAGGAGCTGCTGGTGGTTTTGAACTGCAGACTGTGTGGATCGCAGCCCGATGGGTAACCACTCCACCATCAGGGCTCCTATTGTTGCAATAGGTGGCAGCTTATAAGTAATCACTACGTATAAGTAGGCCCTAGAACAGTGTCCTTGTGAACCTCATTATACCAGTCCCTGGCATGACCATGGCCCAAGGTCTCCTGGCTGAGCGGTTCAATCTGCTATATGTTTGGTTCTGGCTAAAAAAGTTTCAAACCTTCAAACCTTTGCCCCTGTATGAGCTTCTATATACATGAATCTATATTTGAAAGGTGTAGAAATACATGTGTAAAGAAACATCGCCTGACAAACCTATGTGTTTATGCATGGGTGTACTCCCACAGGCCATCCAACGCCCATTCATCGTGTGTCTTTACCAGGTATCCACTCGTCAATTATTTTTTGTTGCTGTTACTGCCTTTTACCCTCGTGTGCCTCCCAGTGTCTTTCTAGGCCTTAGTCATGCTGCGGTGACCTCCTCCCTGTGATATGCCACCTCCCTGTCACCTAAGTTAATAACTCTCTACTCTCTGGTTTTTTCTTCCCTCCACTTCTCATTCCTTACTAAAAAACTCACTGCAAGCAAGTCAATTCCAGCACACCGCGACCCTCTAGGGCCAAGTGGGAGTGCTCCAGTGGGACTGTTTATCTCGATGGGAGTAGAAAGCCTCATCTTTTTCCCTTGGAGCTGTTGGAGGTTTCGAACTGCTGACCTTGCAGTGAGTGGCCCAACCCGTAACCCGCAAAGCCA